GGTCGGGCTCCAGGGCCTATCTGCACAGGATCGGGGCCGTTCCCTCTGTGGGATGTGAGGGCTGCCGCGACGAGGGCTGTGTGGCGGCCCGCTGCCCCCTGTGCAATGAGGAGCCTGACTCGCCGGCACACGTGCTGCTGAGATGTCCGGCGCTGATGCGACTGAGACATTCAACCCTGGGTCACATCCATCCCAGGCTGGAGGAGGTCCGGGAGACCTCAGTGGTGGCGGCCCTGGCGGCCGCCGCCAGACGCTTCCAGAGCCGCCTGGCTATGCTCCCGTGAGGAGCAGAGGGAGAAACAACAACAACAGCAACAACAACCTATCACCGGCAGCGCTCATTGTCCGCCGTGGTGTGCCGTTTACCGTTTAGCACCCATGGCAAGATCAGGGTCATACGCCCTGCATAGTGGCGCTGCACATGATTATAGAAGCGAAGGCACATCACTGGAGTGATCTGCTCCATTTGTAGGGGCCGGGTTTGGTACCCGGCACCAGGCCCGTCTGAGGCGCGGCCCTGCCGCGGGCTGCGGCGGACCGTCACCTGACCCGCTGGGGCGCGGCCCCGCGGTCGGCTGAGACGGACCATCACCTGACCTGCTGGGGACTGGTGAGGTCGCCGGTCCATCGTCTGTCTCGGCAAAAGTGACCTCAATATTATGTGGATCAAAGTGATCACCTACGTCCTGGGACGACGCAGCCTGAGACATGCCCGATATCCGGCGCGCCCCTAACCCCCAACAAACAAACTGCCCGATATCATGATTAAAACGCGATATAACAAAAGTACGGTAAGAAAATAGAGCTATTAAAAAATAAACAGATTGTGACTGATAACATCGATATTACTCGGTGTTAAGTTTCAACAAAGGTCGAACTCGACAACCAGAGTAAAAACAAAAACTACGATCAACAACAGCATTCGTTTTAATATTGCACGTTCTTTTGTATGAAGCCGTTTACCTCAACATACTCCTCGACACAAGCGTTTCTGCGCGGTGCAGAGGGCTTTTCACGGGCACCGCACACTGCTGAGTGCGGTGTGTGCGGTGTGTGCAGCAGGCGTGGGGGTAGGGGAGGGGTAGTCTGTATGACGCCACACGGCTGCGTGCAGTGAACCGCACACATCCAACGCTGTGCGATCCCGACCGGCCTCGGCGGTCGCTGTGTGCGGTGACGCAAGGCTGGCGTAGGGACGCAGTGGGCAGAGCTTGAAGCCTCTGTACGGTCCTACGGCACGCAGGGCCCGTGAACAGTCCTCAGGCTAACCTAACATATGTATGTTACAGGGAGTATGAGAAATCAGTTAGTTTGCAAACTACCTAGGGAATTTGCAAACTCCCTGAACGATCAGGTAGTTTGCAAACTCCGTAGGTAGTTTGCAAAGTACCTGGTCGAACAGGTAGTTTGCAAACTCCCTAGGTAGTTTGCAAAGTCCCTAGTTAGTTTGCAAACTCCCTAGGGTTGTTGCAAACTACCTAGGTAAAATGCGAAAACGACGAAACAACAGCCATATACGAGTACATATGTAGATAAGACGCGATGAATTGGTTCAGAGCTCAGAATGAAGCTCGAGCAGCAATGGTGCATAACGAGACGATGTGTTGTTTTGATGACGCTCTTTCGCAGCTCACTATTTATTTTACGTCTTCCTCGCAAATATCACCTTACATATTAATGTCTGCCTTTTTTCTTGTAGTCGACAACATGTTACGTTGCCATCCACCTCCTTTCCTTGGACGTCAGCGGCCTCTCCTCCACCGGTCTGGCGTCCATCAGAAAGCGGATGACGTCGCCATGTTCGGCGTCTTCCACGATCGAGTTATTGCCGCTCAACGCTTCCTCCCACTCTCGAAACCTCTGATCGAACAGTTCGCGAGACATCCCCACAGAACCACAGAGCAACCGCAGAACAGAAATTGCTATCACTATGCTGCCTCTTCACACTCCGCTCAGCACTGCCTGACCCGACTGCACTGAGCACCGTCCACCAGCCGTGACCCGACAGCGCCTTTCATCCGTATCCCGCAGGCACACACTGACCTGACCTGTCAAGCTCAGGGAAGTCGACTGCTGGCTACCAGGATCGGGTGGAAGCGGAGCGTTGGGTTGACTAAAGATGACATCTTGATTTCTAACCCGCGCCCCGTAGGGGGGAGGGGAGCGGGGCCGAAACGGCCCCCTGTCCTTTTGCGTCAATATCGCCTAAACGGCTGCAGCTATCGCCACCAATCTTTCAGGACTTCTCCGGGCATCAATTTTACACATTGTGATCAAAACTTTTCCAGAGACTTTGATAGGCTGGCCACAAATGACGTCAGAATGACGTAATGTTCTGTCATTTTCGACCGAAAAAAGAGCTTCGCGAGAAGAGCTGTCAGACCTACAGCTTTGAAGATACAGAAAAATGATCAAGACATAAAAGGTGTGAAATCGACAGGGCTACAAAACTGTTATCTTGGATTTTTTATTTTTTTATTTTTGACCCCAAAAAAATGAAAAATAAATTTGGAAATATTACCCAAAAATCCAAAAAAAGTTTTTGAGCTTCGAAAAAACGGATTATATATGATAGTAGGTACCTACCGGCTTCTATCTACAAACCAAATTTCAGATCGATATCTCTTTTTTGGCCAAGTTATAGCGAAACAACTGTTCAAAGATGATGACGTAAAATTTTCAAGCTCAATTTTTGGCTACTTTGCTATCTGAGGTCACTGATACCAGGTCAGGTCACAGAGCAGAGGTCAGGTCACTGGGGGTCACAATATGAAAGTGTCGTGTGATACATGTTTTATGGTCCATTTTACATGACAAATGCGATTATGTTGGTCAGGCAGCCTTTGGGGCCAGCTTAGGTTACGTTCTGGTGAAGGTCAGGTCAAGGTCAGGTAAAAAAAGGTCAAATTTCAAAAGTGGTATTTTTGCATAAAATGGGTATCGATTCGATGCAGCCCGTCACGTTGTGGTCTTTAACCCGCGAGTTGCTGGGGGGGGGGGACGTTAAACGCCCCCACTTTTTTCGCCGGGCCATAGCATAAAAACGGCGCGCCGCAGGCGCGCCAAATTTTGGGTACCTGTAGGGAATTGATTGAAGTTCATTGAGACAAAGTTTCAAAAAAATCGGTCGGAAAATTTTTGAGATATCGAGGTTTTAGTGACCTCATGATTTCTGAGTTTTCGACCAAAAACGGCATATGTTCAAAAAAATCATATAAAATCACAGAATAGACATAAAGACATGCCGTAAACGCCATTAGACTGCAAATACCATGATCAATCAAATGGCTATCTTCGATTATTGATTATCGTTCCGCATTTTCCAAAATCTTGAACTGAATCTTGGCAATTTTTCGTGACTACTTCACGACCATGATACATGAATTTCTTAAATTGAACTTTTTGAGCCAAACACGAACACATATGATAAAATGAATGTCACCATCGTGTTCTACGCCCCAAATTACCTATAAAACATGTGTCACAGGCTGCGAATATCACTTTTGATTTTCGGGGATATGTGCCTACCCGGTTGACCTGACCTTGACCCTGACCTATGCTTGACTGACCCCTATATGGAGCTGACACTCTTGTAGGCCTTATAAGGTGGATTGTGCACCGTTTTGACAGAGTTTATGGCGAGAGGCGCCCATTGCGAAGTCCTGAAGTCCATGCTACTGAAAGCCCGATTTCAGGTGTTTGACCTGACCTTGACCCGACCTGTGACCTCAAAATTCAACTTTAAAGTACTCATCTGAAGCGTCTCGTCGCGCTCTTTCGTTTGCCGCCTCGTGCGTTTCGCTGCGCCTATTGGTTCTCGAGTTATCGGCTGGGGGCGTTTAACGCCCCCCCCCCCCAGCAAACGGTGGGTGGCGAAATACAATGCATTGGGGTCAAAGTGCATTGGGGTCATCAGTGCTGAGCGGAGTGTGAAGAGGCAGCATAGTGACAGCAATTTCTGTTCTGCGGTTGCTCTGTGGTTCTGTGGGGATGTCTCGCGAACTGTTCGATCAGAGGTTCCGAGAGTGGGAGGAAGCGTTGAGCGGCAATAACTCGATCGTGGAAGACGCCGAACATGGCGACGTCATCCGCTTTCTGATGGACGCCAGACCGGTGGAGGAGAGGCCGCTGACGTCCAAGGAAAGGAGGTGGATGGCAACGTAACATGTTGTCAACTACAAGGAAAAAGGCAGACATTAATATGTAAGGGGATATTTGCGAGCAACACATAAAATAAATAGTGAGCTGCGAAAGAGCGTCATCAAAACAACACATCGTCTCGTTATGCACCATTGCTGCTCGAGCTTCATTCTGAGCTCTGAACCAATTCATCGCGTCTTATCTACATATGTAGGTACTCGTATATGGCTGTTGTTTCGTCGTTTTCGCATTTTACCTAGGTAGTTTGCAACAACCCTAGGGAGTTTGCAAACTAACTAGGGACTTTGCAAACTACCTAGGGAGTTTGCAAACTACCTGTTCGACCAGGTACTTTGCAAACTACCTAGGGAGTTTGCAAACTACTAACTAGGGAGTTACAAACTACTCTAGGTAGTTTGCAAACTAATTGATTTCTCATACTCCCTGTAACATGTATATGGCTTGCTGCCCAGTGCCCGTGCCCCATCGAGCCTTAGAACCATCCCGGCTCCGGGCATAGATATTGGGTAAGTAAACTGTCCAGGTACAAGGCAATCGAGAATTGGTGCACAGGCGAGCAGCTCAGCAGACGTAGGGTACATGGCCTTATTACACATTACATCTTTTTATATTTTTTTTACAACTCATGTTAGAGCTGGACCTGGTTGCTAGATAAGTGCTACTGTTGGTATCCTTTTAGCAGGTGTCTCACATGCTGTGACCTGTTTGTGAAAAGTCGCTAGACTTTCCAGTTCTTGAGATTTTTGTATAAATTTTGCCAACAAATATACAACAAAGGTCTAATAGAATAGTCTAACAGGACAAAACATAACAAACTCTGACAGCCCCTCTCCCTACAGGTGGCCTGACCCCCCTGGTGACCCGCCCGGACCCCCATGGCGCGGGCCGCCGCCGCCCCGATTCCGTGGCCGCGGCGGTCCGCCCGGCCCGCCATGGAACGGTCCGCCGGGCCCGCGCGGTCCGTGGCGGGGCCCGCCTCCGCCACCGTTCTTCCGCGGTCCGCGCCCGCCGTTCCGGGGTCCGCCGCCGTTCGACCCTAACTGGGACCCGCACCCGGGCATGATGGGTCCCGGTGGGCCGATGGTGAGTGGCGACGCCGGCCATGGCACCGTTCTGGTCTCAGGGACTATATGAGTCTGTTTTAGTTCGTCCATTTATTCTCGGCTGCCGGTACATATTGTTCGACACAGCGGCCAGCGCAGTGATGGCGTTTGTAAAGTAGTCGTTCATGTCGCGCTAATTACACGCTGGTTTTCTACATCTTGTGATATGTGGGCTGGTTACAGCAGCATTAAATGCCAGCTCGCAGTTTTCTTAGGCTGCTTGATCGCCGAATTTCGTGTGCTTGCTGCTGTGCTGCGCACACGTTCCTCGCAGCACTGCTCTGCCCCAGCTGACCCTGCCCCGTGTGCCGCCGCCGCAGGAGCCGTACCCGCCGGGCCCGCCGGGTATGGGCGGCCGGGGCATGGGCCCGCCGCCGGGGCATTGGAGCGACCCGATGGGCCCTCCGTCCGGGCCGCCGCCGTTCTCGGGCCCGCGGCCGAGACACCACTCTGCGCCGCCGCCCCAGACCGCAGACTTGGAGGGTGAGTCTGCAGCAGCAGCGGCCGCGCGCCGCGTGCATGACTGAGTGGAGGTGCGTTTTAATAGGGGGCGGAGTCAGAAGGGAGGGTCGTGTAAATATTCCGGCGGCAGCTGATTAGACGACCTAGTTTGTTGCATTACGGACAATGTCAGTGAGACTATTGTACTCGCGAAAATGTTAATGTGTCCGGGGACGACTGGGCCTCAGTGTTTATCCTTATACTTGAGGTGGGGTGAATTGCTCAGAGGTCCGGTGACGGCTGTAGATCGGGTTCTTCCCTTGTGTCTGTACTGACGCAGCTGGTACCTAAGTGGTGCCGCGTCTGACGAGCCAGTCGTTGCCTTGGGTCGTGTCTGACCGGCCGCCGCCCTGTGCCGCCAGCCGCCGCCGCCGTAGCTGCCGGCGAGATCAACCCCACCGAGCTGCTCGAGGTGGAGTCTGAGCTGATCGAGGTGAAGTCTGAGCCGCTCGAGGTGAAGTCTGAGCCGCTTGAGGTGACGCCTGAGCTGATCGAGGTGAAGTCTGAGCCGCTCGAGGTGAAGTCTGAGCCGCTTGAGGTGACGCCTGAGCCGCTCGAGGTGAAGTCTGAGCCGCTTGAGGTGAATTCTGAGCCGCTCGAGGTGACGCCTGAGCCGGTCGAGGTGAAGTCTGAGCCGCTCGAGGTGGAGGAGGTGGAGGAACCGGCGCCGGCCAAACAGGAGGACGAGAGCCGTCCGGTCAGCTCCACGCCCGTGCCCGGCTCGCCCTGGTGAGTGCACCGCCAGCATTGGATGGCGGCGGTATGTGCAGCATGGTAGGCAAACGGGACGAACGAGAGTCTGTGTGTCAATGGTTTCGAGACAACATAGGCTACAGAACTGAGTGTTTTATATAACTCACCACACGTCTTTTGTCTCCAGTTGGTGCGTGGTGTGGACTGCGACCGGGGACTCCCGCGTGGTCATCTATGATCCCCGCCCCCGCCCCTCCCGCTCTCTCTTTCCATCCGTTAGGTGCGTGGTGTGGACCGGGGACGGCCGGGTGTTCTTCTACAACCCGTCGACGCGCACATCCGTCTGGGAGCGTCCCGAGGAACTGAACGGCCGCACTGACGTCGACAAGATGCTGCAGCCGCCCAAACAGGAACCCGCGGAGAGCAAGGACGACGAGCCGCCCGCCAAAAAGGCCAAGGTCGAAGAGACCAAAAAAGGTACTGTTTGTGATAGGTTGGAGTAAAGGGGTTATTAACCCTCGCCCGCACATGCCATTTTCCCATCCTACAACGCACATGGGGTGGTTGCCACCCCCCCCCGCGCCATTTCGTTCCTGTTGGAGATAGAGCTTCGTGGTAAAGACCAAAAAGATTCTTTGGGAAGAGACGAATCCAATGATACCCAGTTTTACCTTCTCAGGTCAGTCATTGACCTTCCAGGTCAGGTCAAACTAAAAAAATATTGCTGCTTTGGGTCACCGTTGGATATCAAGTGCGCTGCTTGTCATATACCGATGACGATGCCGTTTTCTGGTGCCAAGCCAGCTAGAACCTCTTTGTCACTCTACCCGACCAGGCTTTTGCTGCTGAGGTCATTTCAGGTCAAGTTAGGTCAAGGTCAATGATATGTGTTTGTATGTCTGTGTGTTTCTGTGTGTATACTGATGTGTGCACCGATTGTTTATGTGTGCAATGTCCATATTACATGAAATCATGATCTGAGAAGCTTTTACCAAAAATGCAGTAAAAAAAAAAAAACTTCACGAAAAGTAAATTCAGCTTGCCTAGAACGCACTTATTTTAGATGACCTAGGTTGACCTTCACCCATACCTTGACATCTGTACATCGTCGAACAACATGTTCCATGATAGGTGGGAGGTAAGACTGGCAAAAAAGGCCGAAATCAAGGTGTCAAAAGCTCACAAGGCCCTGATAGCCAACGCAAGATGTTGAAAATTGGTCATTTGGGTCATGACATGACCTGAAAAACAAGGTCATATCTCCGAAACCAAAAACCACAGAAACTTGAAATTTTCAGAGGACATCAAGAAAGGATAGAGGAGCAGCTATACGAAACATCAGGCTTCTAGCTCTAAAAGTTTGAGTGCAGAGCAGAAAGACTACCTGGTGGAGGAGGGTGGCAACCCCCCCCCCCCATGTGCGGGCGAGGGCTAATACCTGGGAGACCCGGGAGGTATGGGCCGGTTTTGTGAAAAGGCAATTTTCTTCCAGTGGGCATCGGCTAGACCCGGTTTTCACTCTGTGTACGTGAGATTGCCTTTCGCCTTCAATGTGTGCCTGATACCAGGCATCTGGGATCAACTATTTTGTCTCCAGATAACTTTTAATAAACCATGCGCTTTTTCAATCCATCAAAATACACCGGGAGGTATTTTTTTTTTTTTTACTCGAGGAGGCAAAAACGCTTTATCGCCGCTCATTGCCAAAGAAGACTGGGGAAGATTTTGGAAATCACGTGGGTTGTATAACGGAATGGCTGCTATCAGTTAACGCGGTCAAATGTGTAAAAATACGCAACACTTCTTCAAAACTGCGATGGCCCATACCTCCCAGGGGCCCATACCTCCCGGGTCTCCCCTACTGCTATTTTTATAGCAGTATTTTATGAGTTATTTGAAGTGTTATCTCTTAATGTACAAAAAAAGAGTATTTCTCCATCTTTGCCGTGTTGAATGTCGCTCGACCCGGTCCGTCTCCCTATGACCTTCATCGTGATGTGTGGCCCGCAGAAGTGAAGGAGGAGGCGCCCGAGGAGATCGATCTCGGGAAGGAAGCGGCCATTGAGGCGAGATCCGAGATCCCCATGAAGCAGTCCAGGGACAAGCTCAACGAAAAGGAGGTAGGTGTCGGCGTCAATGACATTTACTCTGCTCATTTTATGGGGAAGCGACTTGTCAGCAGGGTTGGCAGGGGTGGCATAGACTGCTTTTTGTTAGTGGTTTTAGCTGGTTTAACCCTCGCCGGACCTATTGATTTTCTACATACGCGCCGGCCGAGGGGGGGGGGGGAGGCGGGTACGACCCCCCTCGCCGTTTCGCCCCTGGTGGAGCTACCACGTCGCGGAAAAAACGATCGTGTGCGCCGTTACGAGACGCAGAGATTGGTACCCGATTTTAAGGTCCTAGGTCAACCGGTGACCTCTGAGGTCAGGTCAAGTGCACCAAGGTACGGTTCAGTTTTTGGTGAATAACTTCGCAAAAAACGGACGCAGAGCCGCGATTTTGGCAGCATCGTGTTCGCCTCGCTCAGGCGCGCGAATGATATAATTTTTGTTCGGGTCAGGTCAACTCAGGGTGTTGACCTCAGGTCAAGGTCAGGTCAGCACCCCAGGTCACGAAGTTGGTCGAAAGAGGTCATGTCGCATATCATTCGATTCGTCAGGTCTTCCTAAGTCCATTGGTGGCTTTCCCGACTCGCTAGCTCAATTTGATTGGGAGTTATTGACGAAAAACTAATATGACCTTGATGATGTCATAAATGAAGTCACGCAAGGTCAACATTGCAAAAGTGACGCATCTAACCTTGCAAGGAGTGCATCATATCACGATTATGTGTGCTTGAGATAGTTGGATATCGTTCCCGGCGCCAGAATAGCAGTTTTCATTTTTTCCCCATTGACTTATAATGGTGAGGTCACGAAAGTGACCTGACCTCATATGACCTTTAGGAAAAATCCGAGATATACAAGTTGTGAGACTCATAATGGATACTAGATCCTGCAAGTTTCATTTCCCTGTGACATCTCCTCTGGCAGTGAGGACGTTGCGAAGTTGCGACATCTAAAGACCGTGCAGAGGTTCACTTATGACGTCATAGGTCAGTGACCTGACCTGCCCTTAAAATGCGGTTGGTGTCAAAAGATCTGGCTTGAATCAAAGGTCAGGTATGCCAAGTTTCAGCTCTCTATCGCCAACGTGCTCGGAGCTATAGTGAAAAAAAAACCAATGGGGGGCGGCACCTGCCACCCCCCCCCCCCCTCGGCCGGCGAGGGTTAAACCGGCTGGCAGAAACCATGGAAGCAAAAGTTGGCTAAACTCAAGTGGTCAAATTTTTTTTCTAGTTGACAATTGATTGAAATGGGGGAAGAAAGCCCATCACGAGAGGAAGCCGATGATACCCAATTTAACCCTCGCCCTGGCAGGGGGGTCGGTGCGACCCCCCTAAGGTTTTTCGAAGATAGCGTAAAAACGGCGGCGCTGCGCGCCGCCAAATTTGGCACAGCCTATGGGGCAACCTTTTTACGTATGACCTGAAAATTTCAGGTCCGGGTGACCTTGGGTCAGGTCACCAGGTCAGCAAAACCGGTACAAGGTCGTGGTCAAATTTCAATTTTGTTTTTGCACCTGTCCAACTCACAGTTTTGGACCCATTCCCTTCAAATTTTCAGGGTGTGCTACGTTCACCGAGTTGTATAACATATAGTTCGTTTTTTATGTCACTGACCTGAGGTCAGTTAGAGGTCATTACGTCGTAATGTTAAGCCTATGGGCACATACTAAATTCGGAAAATACTGGAGATATCCGCTTCGTACTATCACTTTTGTGCTTTGAAACCACAGTACTTACAGCAGGTCACTTGGTGCTTCTTTGTTTGGTGTACTTATTCATGGGTCAGGTCAAATGAGGTCAACTGAGGTCAAATGACGTTTTTGCCAATAACTTGACACATAATGACGCTAGAGCTTAAAATGGTGTCATTGTGTTCCTGGTGATCAGCCGAATCGAATGATATGCGATATGATGCAATTTGGTTAAATTTAACTTAATTAATTAATTTAAGTTTACTTAAAATTAAGAAAAACTTTAAGTACACTTAAGCAAGCTAAAAGTATATCATTCGACGCGCCTTGACGTGCTGAGTTCACTGGTGCTTTTCTTTTTGCTCTGTCTTAATTAGATCAAAAGTTATAAGCGAAAAACTTGTGACCTGTTTTAGCGAAGTTTTTACATTTATACCCCCAAAACCCCCCTAAATTGGATAACGACAACTCAAGAAACTCAAGTTCGTCGAAGACGAACTTCCTCTCCCGAAGAACGACTACATGAAAATGGTAGAATTATGTATAAAATTCGGTTCTTTTTCTTACAACGGCGAAGAGTACGTACAACGTAGCGGCCTAGCCATGGGATCGCCATTAAGTCCCATTGCGGCATGTCTTTTTATGGAAACTCTTGAAGAAGAACATTTTCTGAAAATTATCGGTGAGAACTCAATTTGGCTAAGATATGTGGATGATACCCTCGTCATCGTCCCAAGAGACCCTAGCCTAACCGAAAAGCTCGAAGAAATGAATAAGATACACAGTTCACCATTGAAAATGAAGAAGATGGACAGCTGGCATTTTTGGACACCTGTATCGTGAGAACTCAGTCATGCTTTAAATTTAAGGTATACAGGTAACCAACAAACAAGGAAGACTATGTACATTTTTATTCGGCTCATAGTGAACGTACAAAAAGCGGCATTGTGATCGGTTTCTTTTTGAGAGCACTGAGAATATGCAGCAAGGAATATCTTCAAGAAGAGATTGACCATATTTACAAAACTTTTGAGAAGTTGAGATATCATAAGGGATTCCTAATACGACAAAAAGAGAAAGCAATACGAATTAAGAGAAGAAATGACGAACGCACGAGCAGAGATCACGACAAAGAAGTCCGAACAAGCACGAAGAAGAAGAAAACGAAAAGATATATAACGATTCCGAATTCGAGCAAAGCCGACATAATTTCGCGAGAACTCGAGAAAACGAACATTCAGGTCGCAACGAAAACAGGAATCAAGATACAAGAAATAGCCAAAACAACGTCATCAGATAAAAATACAAATGAAGAAAAGGGTGTGGTTTACGAAATTCCTTGCAAAGGTTGCGGAAAAGTTACGTAGGTGAAACAGGACGGGGCATTGACGTACGCCTAAAAGAACATCGAAGCGATGTCAAATATCATAGAGAGTCGAATGCCATCGTCCTTCATATAGACAAATGCAATCATTTACCAGACTGGACTAAAACAAGAATATTAGAAGAAATATAAAAAAGAAGACACGAAAAACGTTAGAAGCCGCTCATATCATCACCCGGGACACATTTAACTCGAGAAGTGGGTTCATTTCATTATCATCCTGGGCAGCAAAACTGGCGGTAGGCTAGGAAATTTTCATGCGCTTCACATTAATAATTTTAGACGGTTTTTGTATCATTTTTGCGAAGTTTGTATAATTGTGAAACATTGTGAAACACAGTGATCAAGGTCGTATGTGACCGAAAGCTTTGTGTAATTAAAAGTAATTTAAAAATAAATATCGTTTGGTAATTTTGAGTTTCTTGAGTTGTTATCCAACTGTCATGGATACTTTACACCCCCCCCCCCTAAATATTGACCTAGAGCAACCAAATTTACACAGGGGCGAGAACTCCAGGGGGCCCACCTACCTACCAAATTTGGTATTTCTAGGTGCCATAGGAGCCAATCGCGAGGGGGGTCGCATCGACCCCCCCCCCCCTGTCAGGCCGTGTTATGAAAAATGCCCTGCTAGGGCGAGGGTAAAAGTTCAGTGTTTGCTTTCCGAGTCAGGTCAGTTATAGTATAAAAAGGAAAATCGCGACCTGCTAGAACTTCTCAAAGAAAGACGAGAGCTTGTGTTTTTCGGGTTACTGCTTTTGAATTTGGTATTTGTAGGAAAGAGAGACAGAGACAGAGACAGAGTTAGAAGGGATGACATTCGTATGTCTTGTCATTCAACCGTCTAATTGATTTTCTTTGCTTTCCAGTTCAACATGGCACCTGCTGTCAGCAAGAGCAAGAGGAAGAGGATGAGGAGGATCCAGGCTAAGCAGAGCACAGTGGGGAGGGTGGTGACGGTTAAAGTTTTGCTGGTTGGGGATGAAAAGTTTAGGGATTCTAAGCTTGGGCCAGCTCACCTCGATGTCATCAACAGAAAAATTCGTCGCAGAGCCCTTAAGGCCGAGTTCATCAACTTGGAGCACACGCCTCCCATTCTGTCCTATTCTGGGGAATCTTGCACGAACGCACTTGTGACTGCAGATATCCTGGGGAGGGTGGGGTTGCTGTGTGGCAAGGATAGGACTCAACTCTTTTTGCTCTTCTTTTCGATGGGCGGGAACGGGGTGTTCAGTCGAACAGGGCGTAAGTCCGACGAAGAGACACAGGCGGAGCTGGATGCCCACGAAAATCTTTTGCGGGAGCTCCTTGCCCAAAATTCCAATCTGTGTGCGCTTGTGTTTGGTATTTTTCCTCGTCCAGCTATCCCCGAGCATCTCGTCTTCCTGAGAAACGTTAATTACTGCATGCGGAAAAGGATGGCGGCGGTTGCAAAAGCGTCCGGGGGAAGGGTGACCTTCGAGGAAGTTGGACGAGCTCTGCGTGAAAACCCCGGCTTTTTTTTCTCTTCAGATGGGGTCCATTTGACGTCACAGGGAACGCTCGCCATCCTGGCGGTCATGGCGCAATACTTGAATTTTACCGCGCCCTTTCGGTTCGCCCCGGGAAGTGTGCACTGCGTGACACAGGGCGAGAATGAGGAGAGTCAATGAGTGCGAGAGCTCGAGTGGGTGTAGGAAGGCAAAAAAGCCACTGAGCAGGTGATACCTACCGACTCGGTCCGCTGAGCCGGCGGGGCTCCTATTTAAGTAAGCTCCTATTGTGTGAGCAGCACGGTGACCTGGCCAGTGTAAAGTTTAGCGGTGCGGTGGCGCGAATGTAGGTATGTGTGCAAATGTGACGTATGTTATGTTTGTATGTTGTGCTTGTGCGTTATGTTTTGCCCGCCTTACTCGTTTCACCTGACTCGGCAGCCAATAATAGCCATTTTCGGAT